CTGTTTAGGGAAGCTTTTAATGTTTAACAGACTACTGTATTTTGGTACTTTGTTGGAAGCCACCCAGGGTGGCTGGGGAGACCCAGCCAGATGGGTGGGGTATAAATAAATTATTATTATTATTATTATTATTATTATTATTATTATTTATTATGTATCTTTAGCCTGGAGAAGTGAAGATTAATCAAGAAATGGCTGCGTGGCTTGTCCTTCAGAAAATGAAGCAATGGCCTCTTCCCTGTTTCTCCAGAGGACAGGAAATTAGAGAGAGGAAGATTTCAGCAAAAGACTGGGAGAAACTTCAGAGCTGTTCGACAGGGCAAGAGACTTGCCTCAGGAGGGGCAGGACTCTCTGCTACAGGTACGGGAACGGAGGCTGGGCTGTCATCTGTGGGGTTGACAGAGGTACCTGCAGTGGATGCATCCCGTGGAAAACGTGGCAAGAGGGGAACGGCTCTTCTTTTAGGCCCGAGAGACAATTAGCATCCACGTTCAGCTGGCGGTTCCGCCGCCTGGAATGCAAGCCGACCAAGTCATGATGTCACCCACATTTGTAATTACCTGCTTCAGAATATGAATTGGCTAAATTTAGCATTTCCAGCACCCACGCCTGAGTACATGGGGAAACTGCTGGCATTCTGCAACTAGTGCAGCGCACTAGAACCGAGCAGCCTGCAACGGGAGACACCTGTCGTGCTTGGGAGCATATTTTGTACACACATGCAGGTTTATTGAAGCATTTGCAGAAAACATTTTGCCGGGGTTTGTGCGCGCAGCACTACAACTCCCTTCCTCCCTAGTCAACGGCCATGCTTGCTGGGGCTGATGGGAGCTGTAGTTCTTCGACATCTGGAGGGCCAAAGGTCCCCCACACCAAACCGGAGTACAGCTCCACTCGGAGGGCAGGTGGGCTGCCCTTCAGGACCACAATGTGGAGACGGGCAGATGGGACCCAGGGGAGCTCCGGCCGCACGAAGCTCGTTTTGCAGAAGCCCAGGGAAATGGAAGGGGCCTGCGTGTTGTGCAGGGAGCATTCCTGGAGGTGGCACGCGTGAATGGGTTCCTTGCGTGGGTGTGGGGTGCGTGGGGAGAGGATGCGCGGCGCCCTTTCCCTCCCGGGGCTCCAAAATGTCCTCGTCCAGCCGTGCCCCGAGCCCTGGGGCGGCGGGTGGGGGGCGAGGGTCCTCGGAGGACTGCCCAGGCAGGCAGGCGCCCCTCGTGGGCGCGGGGAGGCGGCGTTGGCGTGGCCTTTGTCACCTGGGCTTCCCTCTCTTCTCTTTCCTGCAGAAGTAAACAAATCTACACAGGACAAGACAATAGCGAACAGGCTTGTTCCTAGATATTTGTTAATTAGGGACATATGTCTCCTGGAGGAATCATTGTGCAAAAGGGGGGACCTTCTGCTCGCCAGCCCCCCTCATTTGCATAAACCGAAGCCCATTGGCTTGGGGGCCGTGATGTCAGAGGGTGACTTGTAAACTTTGGGTGACTGGAGATTGTTAGCTTGGTTTGCAATTCCATCAGTCTGCCGGAGTAGAGAGGGAGGGCGGAAATTCAGAACAAAACCCGGGTCGGTGCGCGCGCTCCCGCGCGCCCTCGGAGCGCTCTCTCTTGATCTCGCTCTCTCGCGAAGGGCCTGAGGTTCACAGCAGTCTTGTTAATTAGGTTGCAGGGAAGGAGAGCAGCAGGAATCAAAGGCAGGGCCGCAGGGGAGCCGAGCAGAAACAAACGCAGCCCAGTGGTGCGTCTGGATGCTGGCGAGCGGCGGAGAAGACGCTTCTCGGGGCTGGGAAGGAGGTTTCGAGAGGGGATTCCAGACCTGAGGCCACAGCTCCGCTGGCTTGCCGGGAGGGGGTCGTGAAAGGGCCTTTGCAAGGGAGACTAGCTGGCGCTGAGAGGGTTAGGCTGGGCCTTTGCATTCACTGTTTATTGCTTTGCAATCCAGATATGCCCCCCATCCCTTTTCGGGGGGCCTCGACCACGTTTCTTTTGCACAAAACAAACTCTCTCCTTGCAGCTTGCACAGCACGAGACCTCTCTGGCATCAAATCCCACGCCAAAGGCCCATTCAGGGTAGAGGAGAAAGATGGACTGACTCAGGGAGCGAGGGAGCGAGTGGGGGATTAGTGGAGAAAGTTCTGAATTAAGGGTGTGGATGGCTTCACGGTGAAAGACGGTCCTGTCCGGGGAGGTCACCGCCAGCCCCCGCGCGGGCCCAGCCGCGGAGACCATCTCCAAGGAAGCTCAGCAAGGCGCCACGCTCCTCCCATTGATTCTCACGCAGGGAAAGGTCCCCGTGGGTCGTGCACACATCCAGCGCCTCCTTCTCCTGCCACGCTCGCAGGCCATTGTGTGACACCGAGGAGGCGTCGGGAGGTGCGACCACCGGTAGCGCCCCCAAGAAAGGCGGAGCGGTTGGATGGACGGGTCTGGGCGCCTTCAGGGTTTGGGCTGTGGGGTGGGGAGAGCGGGGCGAGGGAGGGCTGCGAAAATAACCCCGTCCTCTATTTTGCAGCTCTTGTTTTCTAGCGCCAAGCCAACCACCAACTTTTTCTCTCCTGCTCTGCCACGTTGGCAACCCTCGGCACTGAAACGAGGTCGGTTCACACCCCATAGTGATTGAAACTCCTCTCCTGGGAGATCGGGTTCAGATGAACCTACATATACTCAAGCCCCACCTTGCTGCCTCTCAACTTGGCTACACTGTGTTCAGACGTGCGGGTCGTAGGAAACTCCCGAGTCCTCCCCGCAACCCCAATCAATTTATTGAACCCCGGTTTTCGCGTGGAAGCCAGAAGGGGACGGGTGCCAAACGGCTGGCCTTCAGTGGCCGAGACACTTGTTGCCTTCTTGCTATTGCAGGCTTCTCACTACCTCGTTATTCTGGGATGTAGGCAGAAGACGGGAGGGGGCGGTCTCCTTTCCCAGTTCTCCAGAATCCAGTACCTCAAGACTCTGCTCAGATAGCATGTGACTCCTGCGTGCGAACTGGAAGCCCCTTGCAGTAGACTTCCCTTCGACTTTCTGCCAGAATATAGGCCCAAGAATCTTGACTACTGTCTACCCCCTTTTGCTGCCCCAGATCGAAGGAGCAGTACTTTATTTATTTATTGAGGGGAAGGCCTGGTGTACAACCTTGGAACTCAGTCCTGTGACATGGGAACAAGTCACAATGCCGTGCCCGTGAGCACGTGCAAAGTGTCTTTCCTCCGCTTCCAGCGTTTACATATCTGGGGCTGGGAGAGGATTTCCTCACTCAGTAAAAGGAAAGGCAGGGTTGCGTCTCAGCGCCTCACCTTTTTGCAAATAATGCCTCCCCACACGATTCGTGACACCCACGACACTCAGCCGCCCCCCCTTTCTTCAGACAAGAGATCTTTTCTCTCACCAACCTCCTTCTAAAAGGGGAACAAAAGGCCCAGCCTGCGTCCCCTTCCCCTCATTAAAAAGTGAGGGTGTCGCCCACAGGGCCCCACAGGTCTTCCTGACGCTCCCTCCAATAAATCACTGGCGGGGGGAGAAAGCGACACCCCTCCTTCCCTCCTCATTAGGTCTGATAGAGCCGGGGGTGGGGGGTGGGCTTGTGTTTCGTGGCCAAGCCAAGTTGCTTCTCTTGCAAGTTGCCAACGGGCTGCGAATGCTGGATATATGTATTTTCCCCACCCGGGGCTGCGCCGAGCCTCCGACGTTGCCGCGGGAGCTGAATCTGCCTCCTCCGCGCACTTTCCGCGTCTAAACTTGCAAAGGAAAAACGATCAAGGGTCGCGGGTAGGAAAGGAAGGAAAGAGCGAAGAGTGGGAGGGGGTTTACGAAAAGGCAGGGCAGGAGGCGACTCACAACAGCGTCACTAAATCATTCTGTCTCAGCCCTGTTCCCGGGAGAGATTTCTTCCCTTTTTTTTTTTTTTTTTGATGGATTAAATTAAGCGCTTCCATTTCCGTCCACCACCTGATCGCTGCATTATAAATCCGAACAGCTGATCCGCGAATCTTCAGAAATTCAGGAGCTTGCAACAAGAGGCTGCGGCAAGGAAGCCTGGGAGCTGTCCAGTGCTGAACAAGGAACCCCCCCCCCACCGCCCAACAAGCAAGCAAGCAAGCCAGCCAGCCAGCGAGCCAGCGAGCGAGCCAAGCAAGCAAGCAAGCAATAACCGCCGCCGCCGCCGCCACCCCTCCCCACCGCCATCGCAGCCCCGGAGCGGAACAACAATACGAATTACAGCACACACGCAACCCAGGCAGAAGCCGCAGCGCTGGAGAGGACCGAGCCGCAGGGGGCGGACGGGCAGGAGAAGCCGAGCCCAGCAAGAGCGCAGCAGCCCGGGCTGGCGTGGAGGCGGTGAGGGCGCCTGGCGGCGGCGGCGGCGGCAACGGCGGAGAGCCCGGGCGAGCCAGCGAGGGAACGGGGAGCGAGGCGGGGAGCGCCGGCCCACCGGGAGGGAGCTGTCCAGGTGCCGAACTCGCCGGCCGCCTCTTATGAACCAGCGCGGCGTTGGTTGTAATCTCTCGAACTCATGGTGGGCTTCTGAGCCGCGCTGGAGCGCAAGCGAGAGGCCTGCCAAGGCGCAGCCTCGCCGCGCACAAAAGCAGCAGCCGCCGCCGCCGCCGCCGCTGCGGGAACAAGGACTCGCGCGGCGCAACCGCCCAAGCTGGAGACTTCCGCGGCGGGCAGCGCTCCATTCAGGGGTTTGGAACGAGCAAGCAAAAAATACCACGAAGCCATAGCGCGCCGCGATTGCCATTCTTGAGTCCTTTCGGGGTTTGCTTTTTTTATTCTTATTATTATAAAAAAAAATCTGATTTTTCTCCCCCTCCGCAAATTTTATTTTTGTACGTTTTCCGTTCTTTCTTTTTTGTTGTTGTTCTTTTTCTTCGGCTGTCTCCTTCCTCTTCCTGCCCCCCTCCACCCCTGCGCCCCTCCCGCATCTCCCCCACCTCTCATTTGAACCCATCGGCTGAAGCTGCGGGGGCTTCGTCACATTCCGGGAGAGTTCAGAAACCATGCCAAGATCTTTCCTGGTTAAAAAGGTCAAACTTGACGATTTCTCCTCGGCGGATCTCGAGAACTCCTACGGCAGGTCGCGGACAGACTTCAGCTCCCGGATCCATGACAAGGGTAAGGACGGGGGCGGGTGGGCAGAGGACCCTAACCCAGCAGTGGAGGGGAGGGGGGGAGAGAAAGAGGAACGGGGCCCCCACCGAGACAGGGATTGGGGGACTCGAGGCTGTGGCGGTGCGGGGGGGGCGGTCAACGGTGCTTCAACCGTGCCAATGCGCAGCAGAAACTCTGGGCAGCAACAGCAGAGCCACCGGGGGGGGGGAGGTTGTCCCCCTGGTGAGCGCTCTCACGGCACCGGGGGAGGCAGAGCGCCAGGGCTCAAGCGAGTCCCGGTATGCGGCGCCTTTCCTGGAATGCTTTTGCAGTCCCGGCGGCCGCGGCAGCAGCAACATCAGCATCAGCGAAGGGCCATATTGAGCGGGTCTCGCGCCTCGCTCGGCGCTGTGTTGACTGACTCGGCACATTTCGATGCAATCCAAACCCTGCTAAAATTAGACCTTGCAGGGACGGAGGCGGGTGGGCGAGCCTTTTCCATGATGGGGCAAGGGCGCGCGGGCGGGGGGGGGGTGGAGAGAGCGGGGAGGGAGGAGGAGGAAGAGGAGAGGAGCCCCATTGGATTGCAGTTCCTTGTGAGAGAGGCCCTTTTGTCTCGCGCTCAAGTTCAAGGGCAACCGAACCCCCTCTCCCCCCCCCACACGCATCCCAAGAGTCTTTCCCCCGGGGGAGGGCCCTTCAGCGGGACTCCGCATAATCTTCCCTGTCTATGCGTGGCTCCAAACGAGGGGATGTTTCTCCCCCTCCGGCTGGGGCTTCCTGGTGACCCCCGCTTTCCCCCCCTCCCCGCTTTTGTTCCGGGCAATCCGTCTGCAGCGTGTTGCATAATCGCCGGAATTCTGCTGAAGTGGTTCGAGAGAGAGGAAAGGGGGGGAGGGGGGAATTAGCCTCCCCCTCCGCAACCCCCCCTCCCCGCGCGCCTTTCTCCTTTGGTCTCCTGCAGAGCGCTGACCTTGAGAGAGAGGAGAGGATCGCGGGTGGGGTGGGGGGAGGGGAATGGAGATAAAAAGGATGCCCCTCTCCTCCCCGCACATCTCTCTCTCTCTCCCCCCCCCCCCTCAATTCCTGCCAGGCAGTTATCTGGCCGAGGCAGCCGCAGGTGAAAGGGCCGGGAAATGGCCCGGAATGATGGAGAGGAAGATGAGGGGAAGGAGGTTCATCAAGCGCCGCGGAGATTAGCATGACAGAGGAGCCGCTTGGCCGGGGGGAGCGGGGGGGGGAGAGGGAGGGAGGGGGCTCCTCCGGGCTCCAGCTTGTTGCATCTATTAACTAGAGAGCTCTCGAGCCGAGCTGCCGAGCCCATCAATTATGGACTCATCAGAGTCGCCGGGCTGGGCTCGCTCTGCTCCGGCCTGGGAGACTCGCTGCTGAACCCACGCCGCTCTCTCTCTTCCGACCTCCCTCCCTGGCCTTCCTCCTGCCCCCCTCTTCCTCTTCCTCCCGTCTTCTGTACCCATCTTGTCCCTTCTTTGCGTGTCACTCTCTTCCCCCCTCCCGCCCCCAAACCGATCTCTCCTTCTCCATGTGTGTCCTTTCCAATTCTCCCCACGGCCACCCCCCACTCCTTTCCCCCTCGCAACTCATCCCTTACACTCCCCCCTTCAAAACCTCACGTGGCCCCCTCCCTCGCCCCCAATTCATTCCTTTCCCCCCCTAATTTCTCTTTTGCTCTCCACCTCTCCCTCCGTCCCCCTCGGAAAACCTTCTCTCTCCCGTTCCCCTCGACTCGCGCCTTTCCCCCTGGAAACCCCCCACACCGCCCCCTCTCCCCCCAACTCATTCCCCTCCCCTCTCCTGCTCCGTCCCCTTCTCCCCCACCCCCCTGTGCCCCCCTTCCCCACCCCCACCCCTCCTCAGGAGGCTACATCAGCGAGTACATCTCCCCGTCGTCGGTGTACGAGGGCGAGAGCGACGGCGGGCTCAAGGTCCCTTCGCCGACGGGCGTCATCTACCCCGGCAGCCACGGCGACTACGGCGCGCCCGACTCGGACCCGCCGGACAGCCCCCACTCGGAGTTGGCCGGCGGCTACATCAACGGCGACGCGGCGGTGAGCGAGGGCTACGCCGTCGATGCCTTCTTCATCACCGACGGCCGCTCGCGCCGCAAGGCGGCGGTGGTGGGCGGCGGCGGCGGCGGCGGGGCGGCGGGCTCCCGGCTGGGCCAGGCTCCGCAGCAGTCCGGCCCGCAGGGCGGCCCTCCTCTTGCTCCGCAGCAGCAGCAGCAGCAGCAGCGGCACACGTGCAGCGAGTGCGGCAAGACGTACGCCACGTCGTCCAACCTGAGCCGCCACAAGCAGACGCACCGCAGCCTGGACAGCAAGATGGCCAAGAAGTGTCCCACGTGCGGGAAGGTGTACGTGTCCATGCCGGCCATGGCCATGCACCTCCTGACGCACGACCTCAAGCACAAGTGCGACGTGTGCGGCAAGGCCTTCAGCCGGCCCTGGCTGCTGCAGGGCCACATGCGCTCGCACACGGGCGAGAAGCCCTTCGGCTGCGCCCACTGCGGCAAGGCCTTCGCCGACCGCTCCAACCTGCGCGCCCACATGCAGACTCACTCAGCCTTCAAGCACTTCAAGTGCAAACGCTGCAACAAGACCTTCGCCCTCAAGTCCTACCTGAACAAGCACTACGAGTCCGCCTGCTTCAAGGGCGCCGTCCCGCCCCCGCTCAGCCCCCTCGACGCCTGAACCCGCCCCCGGGAGGGGAGAGGCCACGCCGAGGGTCCCCTCCTCCCGCGCCCTTGCCCTCGCTCCCTGTCTCTTCCTCCTCCTCCGGGCTTTCCAAAAGGGTCGACTTCGCCTTGCGAAACCGCGAAGCCAGATTCGCGAAACCCCCGCAGCCAAGGGCCGCGCAAGGGTCCGCCTGGAAAGGTAAAACAAACAAACAACAGCAAGCCAAGCGCACCCCCCGCCATCTCCACACTCCTGCTCTTCCCGCAAAGTATAATAAGCCTAATAAGCATAATAACAATAATGATGATTACGAATTATTCATTAATGAATTACGTCAGGCGAACGATTCTCTTTTTACGATTTCATTTGCGAGACGGTTTTTCTCTCTTCCTTTTTTTTCTCTTTTCTTTTCCAAAAAGTGTCAATTTCTATTTTCCTAAGTGTTTGCTTTGCTATATATTTATTTGACGGGTCTTTTTAAAAATTATTTATTTGAAAGAAAGGAAAATGCAGAAGTATATATTTAACTTGGAAACTTTCTTATTTATTTATTTATTTATTTATGCGTTTGTTTATTTATGCATTTATTTATTCGAGGGGGGAGTGCCTCCTCCCTTAAGACTTTTACGTTTGCACTTTTTCGAATTTTCGGTTGTTGAGACGAGCCAACTCTTTTGCACCACTGTTGACTTCCAATCTGTTCGTTTGTTGCCAAGACTACTTTACTATGCCAAAGTCTACGTCACTTTTTGAAGGGGGAGGGAACGAGGAAACAAACACGAGGAAAAAGGACTGGCCTTTTTTTCCTTTCCTTCTTGCTTTCTTTCTTTTTGTTGAGGGTGGGTGGGGCGGGGTGGGGCGGGGTGTTGTTGCCATCCTTTCTAACACAGGATTTTTTGCATGCAAGAACAAAAAAAATGTATTTAAAAATCTATGCCAATTTGATGATGCTTTTTTAAATTATTATTATTATTATGGATTTTCATTTGTAAAACAATTTTACGTCACTTTTTTCTTTGCCAAACTTTTAGATAATAATAATAATAGTCTATTTGAGGGCAATATTCTCCTACTGAACTAATAGAAGCAATAATTAACGTAATGCATGTTATTTTTAAGACAATAGTATTACTGAGGAATCAGGTACATTTTAATCCAATATTCTTAATAGCAACGGATATCAGGGACTTTGCCAATGTAGTAAGATAGAGTTAATACGGCGAATCTTCCTTCTCTTCTCTTCTAATGAATGCACACTGCCTGCCTTCTTCGACTTACTTCCGAGTAGCTTAGTCACCTCTCTAGGCTTGTAGCGCTTGCCTTGCCAGGAGACCTACGAGCAATTAACCCCCCTCCCTCCCTTTTTTCTAGCGAACCTCCGGAGGACCGTCCACGGTGGCTTTTCAGAGTCCCTTTCTGCACACACCCCCGACCCGTTTCCAGGCGCTGAGTTTCTGGAAGGGCTGCGGGGAGGGGTCAAAGGTGCAGTTACACCTGGTGTACCTACACCTGCCCGGGGGAGGGTGGCTTCACGCCCACCCTAAGAACCCCGGATCCTCCATCCAGGGCCAGCCCCAATGTATTTACCTGCCTTCAACAGGTGTGTCCTTCGACGGGGAGGTATCTGGCGCTCACACCTGTGGGATCGCGCGTCTCAGAGCCCCGTCCCCCTTCCTGCACACTGAGGCCCGGGCTCCATCCCACCCCCTCCTAGACTTCAGATATAGCCTTCTAACGTCATTCATGCGGGAAGGATCCTGTCCCATCCACGCTATCGTCTCCTCGCTCCTGCATTGCAGCTGGTTGGGCTAGACGAAGAAGAAGAGTTTGGATTTGATATCCAGCTTTATCACTATCCTAAAGAGTCTCAAAGCGGCTCACAATCTCCTTTCCCTTCCTCTCCCACAAGGTGAGTGAGACTGAGAGGCTTCAGAGAAGTGTGACTGGTCCAAGGTCACCAAGCAGCTGCATGTGGAGGAGCGGGGAAGCAAACCCGGTTCACCAGATTACAAGTCCACCGCTCTAACCACTACACCACTACACCCTTGGGGTCCCTTCCCTCTCTACTGTTCTCCGATTTTTAGGCAAGCCAACCAAGCCACGTAGACGGTCCTCCTCCTTTACCTATAAGGCACCTTCCTCCCCCCTTTTAGGTCTTTCCATTTTATGAATAACTTAAGAGAAATAAACAGCACAAAAGAATTAAAAAAAAACAACCTTAATAGAATTCAGGTAGAAGGAAACTTGTATTAGCTAGGACCTCCTGTTTTTGTACTTAAGATAATTAATAATGCTACTAGAACGACGACTTCTGACGCTAAGACTGCTAACTATTGCTCCCTCCGCTAATACCGATTTCAAAAGGGGATCGACTCTGACGACTGTATATTGCAAGGAGCTTTGTAAATACCGTTTGGAAATTTACATGAATTTTTACAAGCTGTAAAGAATTCTAAGCCTGTTTGTGGAGAGAGAGAGAGAAAAAAAGAGAAACTTTTCCCTAGGAGAAAAGACATAATAATACTAAATGCAGACAAATAATAATGACGAGAATAATAATGATTTTGAGCCAGTATTTGAATGATGTACCAGTAAAGCACAATTAGCACAACGGTGTCCTGGAGCACTTCACGATAATAATATTATTAATAATAATAATAAAAGAGAGAAGAAAATCTTGCAATAGATCCTTTGTATGTCCTCGATTTCTTTCCGCCTTTCTCCAAACTGTGGTCAAGGCGCGCGCGGAAGGAGGCCGGTCCTTTGGAAGTAGCGTGCGCCCCGCGAGGCTGATTCACACGAACCCGGGTCCTCAGACCCTTTGATCTCCCGGCCTCCCCGCTTTCGAAGACGAGAGCTGTTGTCTGTCGGGGCTGGAAAGGAAAGCGCAGGCGGGAGCCTCTGCCCGCGGGCGCTTGCTTAGAGAAGAAGCGGGTGCTCTCTGCACATGGCTCGGGGCACCTTCTTTTTTGTAACCCCAGGCGCTCGCTAGCCACGCCGATGGAAGAGCGCCTTGCTTTGTATTCAAAAAGTCCCAGGTTCCGTCACCAGCAATATATCCAGGCAGGGCTTGGGAAGACTGGACCGTGCAAATAAGAAGACATGAAGAGCCCTTCGAGAGTGGACCGGACTACTCTCCTGCCTCGGAGGCTTTTAAGCCAAGGCTGGGTGGCCATCCGTCTTGAATGCTTTGGTTGGGATTCCTGCCTTGCAGCGGGTTGGACTGGATGACCCTCAGGGTCCCTTCCAACTCTTAATAATAAAATTTTTTATTTATACCCCGCCCTCCCCAGCCAAGACCAGGCTCAGGGCGGCTAACAACTGATATAAAAAAAAAATTGTTTGAAATACAACTTAAAAAACAAGATTAAAATACAACATTAAAACGCAGCCTCCTTTCAATGGAAACTCAACTCAAAAACTTTTGGGGGGATGAAAAGGTCAAGTCTTCACAAAGGCCAACTTTTCAATTCTAAGGTTCTATGATGAACCAACGGTCTGGCTCAGTATACTAACTGCAGCTTCCTTCCGATTTTCTTTTGAGTACAAGTTTCAGAGGGGAGACAGAGACCCCACTCCGAATCCCACCCCAGCCACGGTCAAGTCCGACAGACTCCTGCAGTAGGAAGTCTTCCTGAGCAGCTGATCCAGGAGAAGGAGGACGGGCTGTGCGTTCTCGCCTGTTGCTCCTTTGTCGCCCCCGCCAATAAAGGGGGTCTTCACCCGCTCCCTGCTAATTGCAGCAGCTCCCGGCAGCCGAGCTCAGCCACGGCTTCCCGGGCGTCCGAAGGGGGCATCTGAGCCGCTTCCCCGGTTTGCATGCGGATCACGTCGTGGCTCCCTGCCCCCTCCTCTGATTAAAGGCATCGGGGAGGAGGGACAAAGGGAGGGCCCGCCGCCTTTCATCCTAGTTAACCCGGAGCACAGAAGCAATTTCCCCCAAGACGGGCGGGCAGGGGGAGGGGAGAGGCAGGCCGGGCCCGACGCAGCAGCAGCAGCAGCGCTCCCCCCACCCCCCAACTCCAGCCCCCTGGAGGAGACACGCCAGCCGGCAGCTGGGCGGGGGAGGGGGAGCGCTCAGGCTGGCCCGCAACCCCTTGGCTGCCGGGGGAGGGGGCGGCGAGGGGTCGCCTCTGCTCCTGACACCCCTCTCTCCAAGTATCCGGAGAAACTGTTGGGAAAGGATTCTTCCACCAAGCAGTGGTCGAGGTTCATTTCCCATCTGCAAGTGACTTCTGCTTGTTCTCCTTTCCATTTTTGGACCGCTTGACTCTTCAGCCCTTTCCAGACGCAGCAGTGACCGTCCCGGGGAGACCTTCCCCTCCACGTGTGCACAGAGTCAAGGAGCCTTCATGTGATCTGGTCTCCACGTGTTCTGAAATCCCTGTCCGGAGGCTCCTCCAGCCATGAGTCATTCACAGTTAAGGAAAACTAGGACCCTTCCTCTCTGAACATACAGAGCAGATGTCTGGAGGGAGAGAGCCCTGAGGGAGGGAGGGATCCAGCCCTCAAACTTCTGCGTGATCTGGAACCCTCTTTGTTGTTGTTTAGTCATTTAGTCCTGTCCGACTCTTCGTGACCCCCTGGACCAGAGCACGCCAGGCACTCCTGTCTTCCACTGCCTCCCGCAGTTTGGTCAAACTCATGCTGGCAGCTTTGAGAACACTGTCCCACCATCTCGTCCTCCGTCGTCCCCTTCTCCTTGCGCCCTCCATCTTTCCCAACATCAGGGTCTTTTCCAGGGAGTCTTCTCTTCTCAGGAGGTGGCCCAGGCCAAAGGTCCACTTTGTCCAGCATTCTGTTCTGACGGTGGCCAACCAGAGGTTTCCCCTGGGAAGCTCACAAGAAGGACATGAGCACAAGAGATCTTACTGAAGGTGTGATAGTTTCTGGGCCCAAGCCAAAGTGCCGCTTTTGACCTATAAATCCTTAAATGGCTCAGGACCGCAATACCTGAAGGACTGCCTCTCCCGCTATGATCCAGCCCAGAGGCCCTTCTTCATGTGCCTTCTCCA